TTCAGCCAACAGTTTCAAGGTTCATTATCCTATTTATTTTTAATACAGAAGTGGTGTTGTGTGTAGTGGCTCTAGTTTTATACTAGGGCTGTTCAAATCATCCAGGAATGAAACTCATTGAGTGACCTTGTCCAGCAAGGCTGCCAGGTCTTCTGCTCTGACAGCTCTAGTCCCCTGCTGCTACTTGGTAGGGTGGTGGTGGGGAGGAATGTTGTGCTCCCACTTCATGATGTCTTGACAGCACAGACGCAGAAGTGACATTGTCGAGGCAAGGCAACACTCTGATTCCTCCAAAACTCTGTAGTAAAAGTATCGATTTGGTGGGATCCTAGAGTGTTGCCCAGGGCAATAACACTTCCAGGACCACACTGGCCCTGATGTCACAGGTTCACAGTGACATCAGTTAACATGTCCCTGCCCTCCAAACGTTCCCACCAGGCGCCGCTGCTGGGCTAGCAATCTTGTTGCCCAGTCAATCTCAGCCTTACACCTACATCACAGGGTTGCTGTGAGGATAGAAGGAGGGAAGGGAAACCCGCACACACTTCCTGAGCTTCTTGGAGGAAAAACAGAATGACAACATGATACTTATTTAGTTTAGCATATTGGTCAATTGAATTGCCACCCCCTACTTTGAAACCGCTTAACTAATGTTTTGAGTAAGTTTTCTGCAGTCGTGCAAGCCAGGAATGAGACTTTCAGATGTGGAAAAAAATGGTGCAAATAAATAAAACTGTATTTTAGGGAAGCAAACCAACTAATTTGAGTCTCTCTCAGCTTAAACAGCTGTGGCTTTAACAATAAAAGCAAAACAAAGACTGCATTTTACAAGTCTCCAAGGACCGAGCACCAAAGGCAGCAAGAGCCGCTTAACAAAGACACTTTGGGTTCTGGCCACTGAGATGCATTTTTTCTTTCTCCTGCTTGCCCTGAGAAGCTGGGGTGCAGTAATGCTGCTCCACCTTCCCTGAAACCATTTTGGGAATGGAAGAGCTACAGCTTCCATGGCTGGCTGTCCTCCAGGAAGTAATGGCTGGCCCCAGCCGTGTGTCTACACAGCGCACACAAACGCCTTCCAAGATAAAGAGAGCCGTGTGGTGCATTCGCTACTCACACTGATTAAACTTTGGCGAGATGGAGGAAGCCTCCCAAGAATGAGATTGGGATGGAAGCGGGGGTGGGGTGGGTGGGGGATGGACCAGCATCCGTGAGGTCAGAGCAGAATGAAAGGGAATAGGAAGAAAATGAGAAAGCACCATAGAAGATTATAGGGCCTGGTCCTCTCACTGTGGCGATAAACCAGCCTCTGGGCTATTTTACTCCTGACTGCAGGATGTGGCTCTTGCTCTTCCATGCCCTCCCACCTCCAAATTACAAGAGAATTTTTTTTTTTTTTGGTCTGGGAGCTGAGCAGGATTTGGAAGAAAAAATGGCAGAGAGTTGAGCTACTGAGAACCACAAGTTGACCCCAAGGCAAAAATCACCTCTGGGCCTCCATGCCAGCCAGGCCCAAACCATAGTTCTTATGAAAACAAGTCACACAGCTTGTCTAGATCCTCAGGCTTCAAGGTGACCAAGGGATTTCAAATTTTATCCCCGTCATCCCCAGCTCAGCCTTTCACTTGGTAACCATGACTTTTCCTTACTTATATTTAGGCATACACCTAAATGCAGTTGCCGTGCTCTGGCTGGCCCAGGCTGGTCAGATCTCACTAGATCTCAGAAGCTAAGCAAGGCTGGCCCTGGTTAGTGCTGGGAAGGGAGACCACCAAAGAAGTCAAGGGTTGCTAGGCAGAGGCAGGCAACGGCCATCCACCTCTAAAGGTCTCTTGTCTTAAAAACCCTAGAGAGGTTGCCAGAAGTTAGCTATGATTTGACAGCACTTTACATGCACTGTGTAGAGTTGCCAAATTCCTGGAGATTTGAGGGCAATACTGGGGGAGGGAGAGTTTGAGGAGGGGAGGGAGCTCATCAGCGAGGTAGTTCTATAGAGTCTGCCCTCCGAAGTTGTCATTTCCTCCACGGGAAGTGACCTCTGTAGTCTGGAGATCAGCTGTGATTCTGGGAGAACTCCAAGCCCCTCCTGGAGGTTGGTAACGTTACGCAACCCAAGAATTGTCCACAATGCAAGAGTAGCAGTATTGCACCCTGGCTCTTTGTATACCCTTTCTTCATTGTCTCACTCCTGTTTTTGCATCACCACAGTCAACAAAATACATGTACCTTGTTTAGGGTTGCCAGGCTTTCTTTTGCTCTCTGGCAGGGGGTGGGAGGGAGCTCTCCGGGAGTGCAGGGGGCAGGATGATGTCACCTTGCGTGATGCCCCAGGTGTGATGATGTCACGCAGCAGTGACATCATCACGCCAGAGACGTCGTGCAGTGACGCTCTGGTATTTTGGGCAAAACTCTATGATTTTGGGGCAAAACTCAAACTGGAGGATTCCCCACTCCCATCTGGGGCTGGCAACCCTAACCTTGTTTCTTCCCTCTGCTACATTTGGCTGCTTTCAGCCTATTTGTTTCAGTTCTCTGTTTATCACCTTGTTGCCAGACTCTGCTGCCTTAGGTTGCCTGTTCTCTGTGCTTTGGACCTTTCTAGATGAAGTCCTTTCCCACAGAGATCATGCTTCTCTTTTTCCCAGAAGGCTTCATTAGAGAGTAGTATCCCTGTCCCATAGAATGGAAATGGTCAGAACTAGCTTTTTGATCATATAGCCTTTTTGTTCTGCAATTGTGGAGTTAAGCTCAAGAGAGAAGGAACGCATAAGCCTCCACCACTGAGGAGGCAAGGGGAACCACAATTTAAAAATAAGTTTAGTTCATTCACATTGAGCTGCAGAGCAGAACTTGCGTTGGCATACAATTTCTTATTTTTTATGTACTGGTTGGGATGCACCTCTCCTGGGACTCCACCACTTCAGACTGTATTTTGGGGAAACCATATGGTTCAGTGTTCCCAATGTTCTAACCTCCATGCACACAGAAAAGTAGCTTGTCGGGGAGACATCCTGAGCTAGTTTTCTGACTGTGAGGAGCGTTTATAATTTGGGGAGAGTTCAAACATGCTCCCTCTACCATGTATCCTCAAGCATTTTTTATTATTTATTAAAACATTTATATCCTACCTTTCCCCATGGTTCAAGGTTTCTACCCTCTGTTTCAAAGTGCACAATCTCAGCTTGTTTTTTTGAAAGGTGTAGACAGGGGCTCATAGAACTTTTGGCTGACTGTCACTGAGCTCTTGCCAAAATCTCTGGCAGCTGACAATATCTATCTTCCATCTCCATGCTTAGCACCTAGAGTTGCCAACCTCCAGATGGGCCTGAAAATCTCCCAGAATTACAACTGACTTTGTAGATCCCCCAGAGAAAATGGCTGCTTTGGAGGATGGACTCTGGTGCCATTATACCCTGCTGAGGTCCGTGACCTTGAGAAACTCTACCCTCCCCAGGCCAGGAACTTCCCAACCCAATGATGGCAACTCTATTCTCACCCTTCTGCGCTCTCTCTCTCTCTGGATATATGGGATGCAAACGAGAAGTGCAGAAGTTCTAAATCTAGATGAATGCATAGGGGAGGGGCAAGACTGAGCCAAAAAGTTCTGTACCTGACTTCCACTCATTCATTATATACTTTGCTTACAGAGCTTGTGTGTATATATCTCTGAACACAAGACTTGGGACCCTCCATTTTCCAGTGTTTCAGATTACACATATAGAAACATGCATGCACTGGTTGTGTACACTGGGTACAATGAAAGCATAGCTGTCATGGGTGGTGCCTACACCACAGTCCAGTCACCCATCTCTTGTACCTAGATTGAGAACATCTGCACAGGGCTGCTGTCTCAGTATTCTCAGGTTTGAAGTGAAAATAAAATGTTTCTAAATAGTTACAGGGCACTTTATTTTTCAGTCTGAGAGGTGTGGTAAGAATGTCTAGGCACCCATAGTGACTCTTGGAAGCCCGGCCAACAGTGTTACTGACTGTTGAATATGTGCCTCCACAGCCATACTGTAAGCAATATCAGGCTTATGTACCACACAATGACTTAGTCTTTATTTGCACACATTTATATACCTCAGATCTCATCAGATCTCATCAGATCTCAAAAGCTAAGCAGGGTCAGCCCTGGGCTCTTTCCTCACTCTCCTTTTAATTCATGTTTGCTGCGGTGTCCTCCAAGCAATTCTGCACACAATCGAATCCAGCCTTCTTTTTATCCCTTCCCCCCCCCCATTCTGCATTATGTTACCTCCCTTCAGTTGTCCACCCAGTTTCAGCCCCCTGTTGCCCCAGGTTTTTTGGATACTGTTTTGCCACAGACTTATATCGCCTCGACTTGAACACTAAGAAAATCTGGAGTGGCAGGCAAATGCAGAAAGAACCCTGATTAGTTGGGGGATAGACCACCAAGGAAGTTTAGGATCACTATGCAGAGGCAAGTAATGGCAAACCACTCTGAATATCTCTTGCCTTGAAAACCCTGTGGGGTTGCCATAAGTCAGCTGTGACTTGACAGCACTTCCCACCTCCAGTGTAGAATCAAAAGGCACACCCACTCCCCCTCAACTCAGAGACCAGTTTGTGCTTGTTCTGGGCTGCCCAGAAGGGAAACCCCCAAGCTTGGAGTGTGGTGGTGGGCACTCATGTGCTGTTTACCAAAAGTGATAGCAACTTTGGGTTCAAGAGCAATGCAAAAAAAAAAAAAAAAAGCAGGCTGATTAATGTATGAAGGGGAGCCATGGCTTTTCTTGCATTTCAAGGACATGTTTAATGATGGCAATAAAAAACAAAATGTTGACACATGCTAATGGCATCTTGTTTAAAAAGCACTTTTTGTGCTATAGGCCAAAAAGGAAAAAAAGGAGGAAAAGAATTTTGTCTCTGAATTTAGGGATCTCAGCCCACATGAAAAATCTCACAGACTGTGATTTTGCTAAGATTTCTGCTGGGTTTTTTCTCTCTCTTCACTCTACCTTTCTCTTTCTGCTTTCAAGGTCACCCTGATGTAGAGCAACCTTGTAATCCCAGTGTTAGGACTTGGAGTCCCAACTCAGCAGTTATCAAGGAAACTGTCCCCCCAGCCTGTCCTGAACCCCAAGGCTGCTATTTGGAGTTAGAGTTTCAATACCCGGTGATCCCAGAGTCTCTGACCATCTGGGTGACTTACGTCTCAGAGGAGTGGGATTCCAGTGAAGCAGTGAATGACATCAAGCTCTTGCTGGTTAGCGGGCAGAATATCTCCCTTGGGCCTCAGAACTTCTTCTGTGACGTCCCCATGACCATCCGACTGGATCCCAAGAAGGTGAACGAGGAAGTCTACGGCATCCAGATTTATACCTTAGATGAGCAGCTGGAGATTGATGCTGCCATGATTAACTCTATCCCACAGAGTGGGCTGTGCACTGACTGCCAGCCCATTGGGTACAAAATTGTCCGGGACCCTCCCTTTCAAAAAGGCTCTTCATTCATCATTTCGGACCTCAGCCGGAAATTCATCGACACGTGAGTATCCAAAGCTGGAGCAATGGGACGGATTCTGATGTTATGCATTGTAAATGACTGATTTTTTTAAAAAAAACACTTTAGGGAAAAAATAAACTTTTCTTGCTGTTTGTTAGTGCAGGCTATCTGCTGGTTTTGTGGCCTGCATCAAGAATGCAACGTTGTGGAAAAGCACTATGTCTGGGATGATCGAAATGACTTAACTGTGTGATATATCATTCTTGGTTTCTAAAGAAAGCCTGAGATGGAAATTCCTGAGTGAAATGTGATACTCCAGCTTTGGGGTGGGGAGGAGCAGATTTGGTTTGAGAATGCAGGTTAAGGGGGTTTACAGTCTCCTCACACCACTTTCCCTGACCTGAAGCAGCCCCTTGGAGCCACTATTTGGCTCACTGGGGAAACATATGTGCCATTTCGGGTCATGGTAACAGCATAGGGGTTTTAGGGTTGCCAACTTCCAAGTGGTGGCTGGAGATCTCCCACTATTGCAACTGATCTCTTGGCAACAGAGATCAGTTTACCTGGAGAAAATGACTGCTTTGTAAGGTGGACTCTATTGCATTATGCCCCACTGAAGTCTCTCCCCTCCCCAAACCCTGCCACTTTCAGACTCCACTCCCCAAATCTCCAGGTATTTCCCAACCTGGATCTGGCAATGCTAGGCGGATTGTATAACCCCCCCCCCCAGTCCAAATCAGACCCCTGTGCCCCTGGGAATAAAACTTCAGCTGGGAACTCCCAGCACTTGTAAGCTTCACAAGACCCAAGATGGACCTGGGGACAGACCTGGGAACAACACATTGTACAGTCAGGCATGCAGAAAGGCCCAGGTTCAATCCCCAACATCTCCAGTGAAAGGGTTTAGACAGTATGTGAAGGGCCTCTTGTTGAGATGGAGAGTCACTGGAAGTCAGAGTAGACTCAGTGACCTTGATTAGGCCAATGGTCAGTATAGGAAGGTGTCATATCTTTATGTGTTTCTGGGGACCTGTGCTTAATTTGAGTCAATGCTAAGATGCATGATTAGAAAATACAAAACACAAAAAAGTACCTCTGAGCTTGTTTAGAATATCCTTTCTTCATCACTGAATGCTTCAGTCAGCCTTTGCACTTCTAAGATTATGGTGTTAAGTGTTTATAAGGCAGAGAGAAGGCTTGCCAAGCGGTGTCAAGGTTTCTTAGGGGTCAGATTTCGAAGACTATGAAACTGGCAGACTGTTGGATGGGGCCAGAGATGAGGTGCAGTTTCAGGCAGATAGAAGTGGCAGCCAGTGAACAGAATGGTCAGAAGTGGTTAACTGAGTCCAAGTCAGGCAGGAAGTCCAGGTCCAAAAGCAACAGTTGAAGATGAAAGGAGAATAATCCAGGGCCGGCAAAAGGTCAGACCGACCTAACTAAGAAGAGAATTCTTCCAAAGAGATAAATTGCTCAGACTAAAGGCTCTAGTCTCAGAACTTGGCTTTATAGAGTTTGGTGGAGCTGGATTGGTGCTTGGAAGAAGGGTCAGCTGACTGAGTGCTCAGTCAGGCCACTAGACCAGTCTTGTTTATTTATTTGCATTATTTATTGCCCACCTTTCTCACTTGGACTCAAGGTGGATTACACAGAGTAGGTCAATACAATCAACAGGATGGGACACTCGATGAATGATGCAATAGGAATTATGGTTGTAGAACCAATCAGAAATCTAAAAACAGAACTAAACCAAAGCATAACTATTAATATGACACATTAAATGATACAAAAATTATACAGTAGGATTCTCGTTTCAGCAAGCTATACACAGTAGCATAAACCACAGTCCCTCGTAATTTATCTAAATAACTTTGTGGAACATTTAGTACAGTGCAACTCTATTGCCTGCATAGAAAAGCCCTCTTGCAGTCTAGATAGTGCCTTTTGAGAAACAGCCTCTGACACTTCGTTGGCTGAAACATGGCACTAGTGGCTGAGGCTGCAAGATACCAGAGTCTGGCTCTTGTGAGATTTAGTTCAAGGCACACACTGCATCCCTGCCCCAACGCCTGACCTACAGGTTTGAGTCATGGGCTTTAAGCACTACTTATACCTCTGGGTTGGGATTTTTCCCACCATTATTCAATAGGAATTAACAGAAAATCCCTGGTGGTAAAAGACAATGCTCTGCAGTCAGTGCTACAGCTGTTTCCAGTGTGGGTCGCAGTTATGAGCCAGCAGCAAAGGGTTGGTAGAAAGCACCCTCCGAGAGGCCCTTCTGATGGCAGCCAAGACAGCCTCCTGCTGACTCGCAGTTGGCTCTGTGCACAGAGGCTTGAGATAACATGAACCCTGCTGGGTGAAGAGTCTGATTTTCTGTCTCCATCCTCAAATGCCGTTTGTTGCTAACATTCATAGCCACAGCTGCCCTGCTATGACATTCCTTCTCGCTCATCCATCTCCAGAATCTGTCTGTCTGTCGTCTTGTTTTCGGAAGCCCAGCCAGCCAGAGGGACATTTGGGTTTCAAACATTCAAATGTGGCTGCCAGACCCACCCGTAAAAAGGAAATTAAAAACATACAATTCTACCCCAAATGAGATGCAGATCTTCACCCCGGTTTTCTGCTTGTGGTGGTGAACGGATTGTCTCAGCTCCTGTACTGGCCCTGAGATTAGTGCCAAGAACACCCAAATGTTGGCATGGAAGGGGGAAGAGGGAAGATTTCATAAAGTCTTTTGAAGAAGTCCACTAATTAGCCCAGTGTCCATCTAGCCCAGGATTCCAGCAGCCAAATTCTCCTCTAAAGCTTATAAATCCTGCATGAATGTGAATTCTCTACTTAGTATATCTCCACCTCAGAGGTACACTGCTCTGAACTTCGATACTCCATGTAGGTATCACAGATAACAGAGATGATAGAAAGATTCCTGGAGGAAAAACCTTAACTCTTTAAAAGAAAAATCCAAGCTATCTGAGATACAGAATGCACAGCAATTAACTGCCCTGTGACAAATAATCCATGTTCCATTAAAAAATACCTAGAATTAGTTTCTCTTCATTTAATTTATACTTTTTTCTGTGTAGGTAGAGCCCTCCCCCCCCAATGTGCAGGAAATCTGGCTTCATTTGGTGATTGACCTTGTCTTCTCACCCAGTGAGCCTTTGACCATCAAGTCAGGATTGCTGATTGGAGTGACAAGCTGGAGGCTATTGAATAACCATGGGGGAATATAAATAATTAGGGAAAAAATTTCCTCGCACCCAAATCTCCCCCTCAAAGGTACTATAAACTTTCAGGGGATTGAGTCAGCCTATTTCTCTTTCTCATGCTCTTCTCTCCAATTGACAGACTTTCGACTGCTCTCCTTACCCCCGTCCCCATGTGCTGCCCATACCACCCTCTAACACCTTTCTTGATGACCACTAGGTGTTTTAAGGAAGGGGGCAGGGGGGGCTTTTGCCCACAAAGGCTTCTGGTTGCTGTTGGAGGTTTGATTGGCTGTGTACATTTTTTAGAATGTTGCTTTGACAAAGCAGCTGCCACCACAGCCTAAGGATCCTCATTATTACATGGCTGGTTTGGTTCTACCTCCTATAGCAGCCGTTTTGTGGCTATATCCATCACACTGTGTTAAAATATTACAGGTGCCCACAGACTCAAAAAGGTTGGGGACCCCTGTCTTGAAGTGTACTCAAATCCTCATTGTTGTTGTTTTTAGGGGGTCTTTGTAAGTTAAATGAAGTGACAGTTTTTGCACATGCCTGGGGAGTCTACCAACCAGTCAGTTCTCTATGGGTAGCCCTGTTTCACAAAATAATGTTTTCTTGTTGGAGTGATATCATTTGGTCAGGTGAAATTACCACAAGTCCACGTCTTCAGAAATGCAGTGAATACATTATGCTGTGCATCACCTTGTGAGGAATGTTTCTCGCTGTGATGTTTCACAGAGATGTTATTTTGGGTTGTAAATTCAGTGTATGAGAAACACCAGAAATCTCCCAGGAATAGCAAATGCCATTTGTTTAGCTTGATTGAGTGGAGAAACATATCTGGCAGATATTTGTTACTCAACAGATTTAAAAATAACTTCCTTTCAAAAATGTAGACTGAGTAGCCAAAGGGGGGGGGGGGGCATTGTAAAGACTAAAAATATTGAGACGTTTTGGAGGTATTTTTCACAGCATTATCAACAATCCAGTTTTGTTTCTCTACGTTTAGCTATCAGTCTGATTTGTTTTTGGATATTTTACAGTACAATCCTGTGTGTTACAGGGTGAATACTGAGGTCACTCTGCACTCCACAAGCTAGGTCAGATCAGTGGAGGTCAGGCTGAGACAGTGGGTGACTGGCCTAAGGTCGCTCAGTGAGCTTCATGGCCATCATGTGGGGCCCCTAAAAGTAATGGAGGAGGGGTTGCATGGAAAAGGATTGTACTGTCACATGGGTTCTCCAAACAAAGCCACTCCACCTCCTGTGCAAAACAGGGGTGCCTGTCTTTTCCTTTCCAGAGCTAATTACTAGGGTTGCTAACCTCAATGTGGGGCCTAGAGATCTCCCAGTATTACAATGGATCTCCAAGCTATCAAGATCAGTTCCCCTGGAGATAATGGCTACTTTGGAGGATATACGGTATGACTGAGATCCCTCCCCTCTAAACCCCCCTCTCCACAGGCTCCACCACCAAAATCTACCGGTATTTCCCAACCTAGAGCTGGCAACCATAATTTACAGTGTGTGTGTGGGGGGTCAACTAGTGAAACTGTACTGGGTAGGGTTGCCAACTCCAGGTTGGGAATTTGCTGAAGATCTGAGGGTAGAGCCTGGGGAGAGCCGGGGGGGGGGACCTCAGTGGGCTATAATGCCAAAAAGTTCACCCTCCAAAGCAGCCATTTTCTTTAAGGGAACAGATCTATGTAGTCTGGAGATCAGTTGTAATTCCAAGAGATCTCAAGGCCCCACCTGTGGATTGGAAGGGATAAACCCCTGCCCTTACCATAGGGTGTCCCTTGTTTGAACCATGGCCTAGCCAGCTACTACTAGA